TCCTCTTGTACAATTAGGATGTGGGACGGTATCAGGTGCCCTTGGAGCAACCTGTGTTTACCCATTGCAAGTTGTTAGAACAAGGTAAGCTTTGGTTGTGTAATGTCTTAGTTGCAGCTTAACATATAACAAGTTAATTTCCTTTTTATAGAAATTAGAACTAACATGGCTGTTTATTTCAGAATGCAGGCTCAACGTGCTTATACGGGGATGGCAGATGTATTCAGGAGAACTTTTAAGCATGAAGGTTTAAGGGGATTCTACAAAGGATTATTTCCTAACCTACTCAAAGTTGTTCCAGCTGCTAGTATTACTTATTTGGTCTATGAGCATATGAAAAAAGGCTTGGATTTGGAGTGAAGAACTTTGTCGCTTCATTTGGTAATTACTCTAATTGACATGGCTGACCATTGGCAACTACTGAATTGGTTCTGCATTAGACATTAATTACAAGAATAAATTCCCTAATTGATTTTATGTCAATTGTTTAAATCATTGTTAAATAACATCTCTTCAAAATTCTTGAAGGACGAAATTGGTTTGTCCTGGATGCTGCTTCATGAAACTAGTTAGTACGAAGCTGCATATCCTTGAGCAGATTTTGTTGTATGCTAGACTGTACACACAAAAAAGAACACAGTTAGGATCCGATTTTGTAACATGTAATGCCTCACATTTGCTAATCATTATCTAACAATTGGTTCTTGTATTTGTTTGACTTCCCATCCCCCTTTAAAATGATAAATTATTTTTTGAACTTCTGAATACTTTTGTACCTTTTGAGTTAGTTTGTCACTCTAATGTATGTCGTTGTCACAATGTCATTTTAAATTTGCTGAAGTCTGCCTGAAGATTATCACATAATTTATTTAGACATTGCTTTGGTGTTTAAATTAAACAGTTTTTCTAAATAAGATAGTTTCATCTGCAAAAAGTAATGTTATATCCTGTTTGGAAAAGCTTTCGAAGAATGTAATGTTTAAATATTTTTTTTGCAATAGCTCTAAACAAAATAATCCTTCTATAGTGACTCATTTAACCAGCGGTTATAATCTTTGATAAAAGAGTTTGGCAAATGAACTTAATCATAATGTAGCATGACAAAGGACAGCATATTTTACTACACCTATGTCCAAATACATACACACATATTTTATTGTAGAATGAACTAATGTTTGTAATATGACACTTTTAATCACTTTTTAACGAAGCAAGCTTTAGCAATCGAACTGGTATTTTCACAATTTCAGTAACTAGATTAAGTCTGTAATATTTCATAGTATTTAAAAACTAAATCATATTAATAATTTGTTTCTTCTAAATAATAATAACAATAATTTGGTTATTGGTTTAATTTGCGATGTCATATAGGATCATTAGGGGATTGCTGATTGCAGGGGTGAGAGTCTATATTGTCTTAGGGCTAAGGGTGAAGAGTGGAACCTGTTTATTTATACCATATTAATTGTTACAGTCACCTTGTGTCTGCAAGCTTTTTGAGTGTGTGTTGCAACCTGATTGCACCTTTACCATATTTCTATTCAAATAGTTTTTAGTAGAACATATAAAATGGGGGTTTCTTCCTACACCCCCACGTTTACCCCAATTTTCACTGATGCCGATTTTAATCTTACAAATTTATATATATAATATATTAAATTAAATAGGTAAATAATAGTTATTGTTTATCAACCTGTATTTATTGTGTTGCCCGTTATTTACTCTCCCATAGCACTACCAAATCATTTCTTCTTTTTCACTGAATTCATTTCTTCTCTTCACATCTTCGTGTTTGTTGAAGCTTATAATCTCCTGAATACTAGAAGAAGAGAGTAATAGTTTGAAATAGAGATATGCATTTCATGTAGATTATTCTTTATGAAGTTTCGCGAAAACAATTTTTCAGATTTCGTACTTTATTTTATTTTCTTGCAAAAAAAATGACATAACAATTGTTTTATACTTATTGTGTTTGTGCTTGAAATGCTTAATGTATCCATTCATTGTTTGTAAATGAATCATAAGTTTAAACAGATTGTACATTACATTTATGGTAGAAATAATCAATTAGACATTGTATATAATCGATTAGATTTTTTTCCAGATATTAGATATGCTTAATAGGGGCAAACAATTGTGTAGTAATCAATTACATTAGTTGTATAATCAATTAAAACACGTTATGTCAACATATGTTTGTTTAATTCATTGATCTGTTTGGAATGGAAATTGATTTGAAAATTTGCTTAAGTGTTGAACTTAACCTATTACAGAAGTTTCCTAATCAGAAGTTTCCTAATCAGTTAAATTGTTTATCTTGTGAAAATCAATTTCATTAAAGCCTTAATTGTCTAGAATGGTCATATATGTTTGTTATTAGCTTGTATATATTGCATAATCGATTACATGCGCTATATAATCTGTTAAATTTTTAACATATGTAAAACTGTTAAAGCATAAGGAAAAACTTAACCGATTACATTAATTGCATAATCAATTAAAGTGCGTCAGGATTCAAAAATCCTATAAATAACCGTCTTGCACGTTGTTTCAAAACAATCTTTGAACTATCAATTTCATAACTAACTTTTTGATTGAGTATTGATTGCAAAAGTGTCTAAGAATAAGTCTTGGAGAATAAAATATCACATTTGAGTTAATCATCAAGATTCTTGCAAGAAAACTGAGCTGAAAGAGTTCTGATCAATTATGCACTACTAGTGTACTACTGTGAAGATCAAATTCATCATTTGCAATCAAGTGGATTGTGTTCCTGTGTAGGTTAGGTAGGAGGAGAGAACTGTGGTGTTCTTCATTGAGAGTTGGGATTGCTCTCAAGGTGTTTAGAGAGTTGAGATTGCTCTCTAGTTTGGTAAGATTGTGAGGTGTTCACATATTTTATTATAAGTGATTTTGAGTGGGGTAAGAAGTACATTGAGAGGGTATATCTTTGTATTTTTGTAACTCAATCATTATAGTGGAATCCCTTCAACTAAGGTTGTTGAAAGAAGACTATATGTATGCTTGGCCGAACCAATATATATTATTGTGTTGATATTTCTCTCCTTTCTCTTTTATTGTTGATTCATATACTTGTTTTATTGATTTCAAGAAAACTCAAAGATTTTGAGAAGCTTTTGAAAAGAACAAATTTTTAAAGGCCTAACCAATTTGTCCCTCCCTCTTGGTTGAGATATAAGACATCACTTTTCTAATAGTTTTGTATAAAGTTTTTCCTTTGTATTATCAATGCAAAATGTATTTTTGACATCCATTGATATAACTTTGTATTATTAAGAATAGATAATGGAAGCATGGTATATATTGTCTCCAATCGTACAACTTTGTTGCATAAGTCTTTGTGTAGTTTGTCCTTTTATGTGAATAACTTTTGACCACTGATATAGTCTTATTTTTCAATATCTTACTTTATTGAACTTTTTTTCTAATATCCACTTTACTTCAACAATGATCTTGTCTTATAGTTCAACTAGTTTTTAAATGTTATTTTCTTAATTGTTCATGGTCATCTTGCATAACTTGTAATGAGTTTATGTTGTCTTAACTTTATAAATGGTTTTATGAAGTATTTTAAAATAATTTTATGGGACAAATATGTTTTTAGTTATTGAATTTGACACGAAATTGGAACTCGTCCCTATTAGAAAGTTTGATATTTCTTAGTCTCTAAACTTTAAAAGTGAATATGATTATTTTAATATCATTACTTGATTTCTTTTGACTTGTCAAACACGTTTCATGCTAGTATTTAAGCTGTTTATACTGTTTAACACATTTTCTTTTTAATATTCACTAAAAAAATGCATTTAACAAGTCAAAAAATATTTAACATAGTTGAGTTAAACAATTATATCCATTCATATTTTTAAGTTTGAGAAGCAAAATATATTAAAATTAAAAAAAAATTAATTTTATGTCAAAATTCAAATACTAAAAATATACTTAATCCAATTTTAATGATATAACAATATTTTATGGAAAGTATATATATACATATACATATATATATATATATATACATATATATATATATATTACATAATATAATATATATAACATATATAATACATATATACATAGTATATACTATTATACATATATATATACATATTCATATAGATATATATAATACATATATATATATTAGACATATATATAGATAAATATCACTATATATATCTATATAATACATATATCATATATATATATATATATATATTCAAAAATACTAAGTTAAAAATTTATTCATTAAAAATTTCAACTATTCATATATTTATATAAATATATTTTATTAAACATTATTACGAAAAATACAAATACCATATTTTAATTTATTATTTTACAATTGAGAAAATACTTAATATATATTGAAAATGAAAAAAAATTATTTTTGAGAGTACTTTCCAAAATCTTAAAAGTTAAAGTATGTAACAAGGACATTTGAAATGATAAAAAGAAAATTCTAAAAATATTTTGTAAATAATCTTTTCATTTTTACATTTCAAAATGTATCTTTGGTTACATATTCTTGTTTTTCATATTTGGAGAGTATTTTTTGCACCATGAAATTCAATGGTGTTTTGCAAAAATATTTTCTTAAAATTATAAAAACCACAAAAAATTATTTCTAAAAGAACTAATGAGGAGACATTTTCAACCAAAATTTCGTGAGAAAGAAAATTTATTTTAATTAATATTTAAAATTCTAGAAGCATTGTTATAAGCAAGGGAGAAGCAAATGTAATTTTAACTAGTCCTTCTTATACTAGAAGCATTATGACAATGTTAGAGAGAAAAAAACATGAAAGGACATTTGTAGTACATGGGGAAGTGCATGGCGCAAAAGAAATAAGAGTGTTTTGAAACGTTGGAGTTAAATAAGGGTTTATTTTACATAAAAAATTGAGTGAAGATAATAAAATGAGGTGTGCAGAAAGTAAACGAAGGAGTATTGATAGCAACAGAAGCGTCAATGTGTCCATCTGGGCCGACCCAAATATCAACGCAACAGCTTTATAATTCGATTTCCCACTGCCTCTTCTTCCTTCTTTGCTGCTGCAAAACCTAGGGTTAAGAGTTTTTCTTAGGTTTTCAGCCGCTTTCTGCACACAATGGTGAGTCTTATTTTTCGCATTAGATCTGAGATTGTTTCTTCAATATTTGCTTAGTATTTTCATTTATCTAATCGTATGCATTTTTACCTCTAAATGATGTCTTATGAAACAAAGAAGAGAATGACAAATTTTCTTTCTTTTGATAAATGTGGTTCCTGAATTGTTTTGGTTTTAAACAAAGTTCAGACAAGTTTTTTTATAATTTTATTGTTTGATAGAACCTTTCCGTGTTATTTTTGTGTAGAAGAAGTAAGATATAATTTATATTCATATTGTATTCTGCCTGAAATTTGCTTATCTGATTTTATAATTGAATAGGTTCTTCAAAACGATATTGATTTGCTGAATCCTCCGGCTGAGTTGGAGAAGAGAAAGCACAAGCTCAAGCGTCTTGTTCAGTCACCAAATTCTTTTTTCATGGTACAGAATCTCTTATTATTATTATTACTATTATTATTATTATTATCATTATTATTAATATTTGGAATGGAAAATGTTATTAATTTTTCTATTTATGAAAAAGCTCTATTAGTAAACTTTAGATTATTTGTTGCAGGATGTCAAGTGCCAAGGCTGCTTCAATATGTAAGTAGGATCTATTTCTTTTTATTTTAATTTTTTTTATTATAATGATATATGAATTAATGATGCGAATTTGACTATGCAGAACAACTGTGTTTAGCCACTCTCAGACAGTCGTGGTATGTGGTAACTGCCAAACAGTGTTGTGCCAACCAACAGGTGGAAGAGCCAGGTTAACGGAAGGGTGCTCATTTAGGAAGAAGGGAGATTGAATAGTGCAGTAATCAAGGTTTTCTCTAGTGCTCATTTAGGAAGAAGGAAGATTGAATGGTGCAGTAAAAGGTTTTCTTTATCAATGGTGTTGAAAAGTATTTTTATATGAAATCAATTTTAACTATGTATTAATTTTTGTTAAATTGTACTACCTAATCCTCTTTTTAGTACTTTCTGGATATTTATTTTACAGATTTGCTTACTCAATGAATATATAGTGTAGTTTGGATATTTATTTTTGCAATGTATGTAATGAACATGCATTGTATATATTTGTTAAGTGCATTTGAATTATAATACATCTTCTTGGGTTCCTTCCATATCGACTTTGGTTTTTCCATGTGTAAGTTACCATGGTTTACTTTCTTGTGTGCCTAAGGCCGAGCGCTTCCTTCTTTAGTGAGGGGTGGCGTGGTATTCCACGAGAGAGGGTATTCTATGTGGCGCACTCCTTTTAAGGTGCGTAGGCACAAATAAATTCAACAATGAAAGGGTACCTTGGCTGCTTTACTGCTCTAGTTTTAGCAGTTGAAGCGACAAGATTTGCCCTACATCATAACAAAGTTGCCGCATATTTCTGCTCAAAAGGCTTCTATTGTCTATAGCTTAGATGCTGAGTCGAAGTGGAGCTTCCTAATGGGTTTAGGATGCATGACTGTTTTTTGTTTGGACCTGTAGTATAATCAGTTTCTGTTCATGTCGTTTAATCAGTTTTTTCTCTTTAGCAGATGTTTGTCTTTCACTACTCAACTGTAAAACTAATGGGAATTGGAACCATGGTATCATACATTAATTGGCCGTTTGGTGCATTTTTTATTTGAATTTGCAAGCGTTACTTTAGACGAACTGGAACAGATTTTACCTATCAAACCCATGTTATGTTAGTGATAGAGGATTGCTGGATATAGCACTCTAGTCTTATCCTTCTTTGTCATTGATTTTGTTGCTGACTGTTCCTCATTATCGAACTCATTCTTCCTCATGTTTCAATATGGTGTCGTCATAGAAGTATGTCTCTAAAATTTTATTCTTAGTTAAAGTCAAAATACTAGACTATTAGTGTGTTTTTATGAGCATAACAAGGTCAAGAGTGGGTATCAAAAGTGATTAGTGGAAGTAAAACAATAAAATTGAATCAATAAGGAAATAGGGAAAATTTTGTATTAAAGAATCATAAGAACACCATGTGATAGTGAAATGTAGAGTTGGTATTTGAGTTCGTTGTTTATGATCCTGACTTTCTAAAACCAAATTTTATTTTTCTGGTCCATTTAATAGGGGGTTTGTTTAAAAGTCCTAGTCACCAAAAGTTTCATGTAAAGTGTGGGACTGACTTTTCAGAATTAAATTAGTTATTTTTAATTCATTTTCAGTTATTATTTTATTTTGTTCAATAGTTTTCAAGTTTTATATGATATTTTATTAATATTTTTTGTATTTTCACTCTAAACATCTTTATGTAATCTTGAATGCCTAAGAATAGTTATAGGTTAATAATTTTATTTCACAAAGATAGGTTTTTATTAATTAATAAAAAATAGATAGTTTTGATATAACTTAGGATAATGAATTAGTGGAATGATTATTTTGTATATATTTTAAAAAATGGAAGTTAATTGTATTTGTTCCTATTAATGAAAACTTATTATTTCTAAAATAAAATATGAATATTGATTTTATAAAAAAATTGTTTAAATTTTTTTAATTGTAATTATATCTAAGATATATAATATATAATTTCATTATTTTGAAAATTGACTGTTAAAACATAAAAATAAAGCATTTTTTAAAGAATAAAGTATTAAAAATAAGTAATCTTTTATAAATATAGATATTGTTTATATTTGAATATAGTCGTAGAAGCACATATTTTTAATCTTTGTGTGTTTTGAAAATTTATATAAAATTATTTCGTTAAATTATTTAAAATAAATTATATACAAATAAATGTTTAATTTACTTTTAGTTTTGACATTTAAAATATAATAAACATATTTTATTTTAAAAATAAATAATTCTTTAAAAAAGCAAATAAGTTATAGTTTTTATCTAGTTTTAATACTGGTACTTAGTTTTGAGTTTTTTTTTTCAAAGTCATCCTAACTTTTAAAAAGTTAAAAGTTAAGTCTTATATTTCGTTAAAAACCGTTTTTGCAATACGTGGCACATATGATATATTTGAAAGTGTAAATTAAAAGATAGAATGATGCGAGTGATTTAAAGCTATTAAATTAATATTATTTTTCAAGACAATTTTAGTATTGTCAAATCAAAGTAACCTCCAGTATTGATTATTTACATATAATTGTTATTATTGTTCAAGTTTTAAATTAATTAAAGTATATTTTTTAATTAATTTGAGGGTGATCATGCATTTAACCAAAGTAGATTCTCAATCAAATTAAAGACCTTTGTAGATTATTCACAATGAATTCAACAAAGTACATTCTCAATCTCAATCAAATTCTATTGTGTTTAATCATGTCTATTGTTAAATCTCCTAACCAAATTAAAGACTAGTTAATCAAAGTAAATTCTCAATTAATTATAGTTGAAATTATTACCACCAACCAAAATACATTATCAATTGATAGTAAAAACTCGTTTAATCATATGAAAGTTCCTAACTTTCATTAAAGTAGATTCTCAACCAAACTTAGAAACCTTTGAACTCATATGTCATATGATTAATATGCATGATTGAGAAATGAAAAACATAGAAAGAGAGCAACTCAAATAAATAATCAAAAGAAACAATTGAATTAATTCAACTTAACCTCATAATTCATAATGAAATTACAGTGGAATAGCCCTAGAAACTTACCCCTCCATGAATGAAGTGAAACACATGAAATAAAAGTGAGAGGAGGGGTTGATGATTGCTTCCAGTGGAGGAGTTTGAGAATGATGGTTGTGGAGGTGGTTGGCGATGAGACAGTGGCAAGGTAAGGGAATTAGGGTTTCTGTGGAGAAGGTTTGAAGGAGATGCTGACGTGGCAGGGCTGATGTGACAAGGGTGACGATGTGTCAGATTTTAACTGGTTTATCATGGTGTGTTAGGATCTGGGACACGTGGCAGAATCTGGTTCAATCTGATTTAGGAGGGGTGTATGTAGGGGAATTTAGGGGCTGTAGCAGAAAAGGTTTAGTGTCTAGGCTTACTTGTTAGGCTTGGTTTAGAAAAGAGGGGTGAATCATTGTAAAAAGATGGGAGCATTAAGCCCTTTTACTTTAATAAATTAATTTCCTTTTGAGACTTCTGATTTTGGGTTTTGATTTGCAATTTTGGACCAATAAAGCTTAATTTCAGCTACACAAATAAACATTAGAACATCCAAGAATAATTTATGTGCAAAAACTCACTTTTTACGTCTCTTTAATTCCCAAACCCAACAATTCCAATCATCACAGATTCACTTTAAATCAACCATTTAAGCACAAGAATCTCACTAAAATTTTAAATTTTAAAACATAAATGTGGGCATATATATGCACTCATCAGTGAGGAAGGTTTAACTCATGGTTAAATCAAATTACCCTTATCTAAGAATACTATCACGATTTTTGGGTTGAACAATATGGTGAAAGTGGTCTTCAATTGAAAGTGGCTTGTTAATTCCTTGAAAACACAACATAGGTCAGGTCAGTGTTGTGAAAATCTCCAACTTGAAGACGCAACATAGGGTTTCTCCTCCCTTTTCGTTCCGGATTGGGAGTGTTTCGCAAGAAGGGGATTTCAGATTGCAGCATTTTGGGGTTTCCTTTTCTTGTGTTTCAGATCTTGCAAATTTTAAGGATTTCAGATTAGGGTTGATTTTTACATTTTGGGGTTCTTTTCTTTGTTTGCAAATTGGGTTTCCTTTTCTTGGGTTGATTTCGCGTTTTAGGTTTTGGTATTCATTATCTTGCAATTTGGGATTTCTCCTTATCTTGCTCCTTGTTTTTAATTGCTTTGTGTTGGGTGGTGGTGGAATGATGACTCACCTTTGTTTTTTGTATTCTCTATGCGTGAATGGACAAAGGAGAGAGGGAAAGAGAATGAAGATTTTGGATGATGACCGTGTGGGTTTCGAGAGTGATATTGTATATGCATTGAACATTAAAAATGATGGTGCTGGAATGATGTGTTGATTGTGGGTGCAGGATGAAGAAATGGCTAATGGATTGTTGTTTTTCTATTTGTACAGGTGAAATGTGATAATGTCTGTGTTAAAAGAATGGAGGTTTATGGTGATGATGAAGGTGAAGAAAAGGTAGATGATGGACACACATCATTAAGTCATGGCACGCAACAACAACGACACGATTTCATTTAACTCTATATTAAACTTTTTCCATGTCATTAATTTTTATTTTTAAAATTTACATCTTAATTGACCTCAGCATGCCACGTATTACAAAACTAGACACCTCATTCACTTTTGCTCAGATGAGCTGCACTATTATGTTTTTAACGTCGTAAGCCAAAAAGACCATTTTGAACCGTTTTTAACGAAATATGGAGCTTGACTGAACTTTTTTAAAAGATAAGACTACTTTGAACAAAAAACCCAAAACTAGGGACCAAATGATGTATTAAACCTTTTATCTAATAGTGTTAATATAATACAAACATCTTAGATGTTAATACAATTGTATAATTTGATTTAGGAACTAGTGGATATGATTTAATTACCAAATCATTTATTTTCATTTATATCAATATGTTAAGTTAGTTAGAGAACTTTTGAATGTTATTAAAAGTACATTTTCAGAAATAAAATAGTTAACCTATTATAAGAAAGTTTATGGATTAGTCCTAGTATATAGGATTTTATGGTTTTATGAATATTTGATTCTATGAAATTTTTTAATTAATAAATGATTGTTTTTGTTTTATGAAATTTTTTTTGTCTTAATTAATTCATGTGAACTAGAGCCAAATTCTATAAGATGAACTAATTTAATTGATTTAGTAAAATGTATCAATTTAAGATTATTATTTATTAGGTAGTTTATTCCTTATAAAATAATTGTAAAGACTCAACCATACATACACTAACACTTACATTTCCTTTCCTCTTTTTCACACACACATATCAAAATATATATATATATATATATATATATATATATATATATTAAGTATGAAAATTTTTAAGTTAAGATATAAATTTCACCACAAAACTAGACACTATTAATGGTAATATGATAAAAAATTATACAGTATATCTAACAAACAACCAATTTTATTAAAATAAATTTTTAAACGATTCTGATATCATTTTACAAAATCTCTTAAATTATACAAGTAATTTATAA